AGAGAGTGAAAAATAGTACCACGTCAAAATCTCAAACAAAATTGAAGCTGTGTGAAACTTAGATGATGATGCGAGTATCAATGGATCTTGGGAAATCATTAGAGAGAGTATAAAAATGTCAGCCAAGGAGAGTCTAGGTTATTACGTATTGAAGCAGCATAAGCCATGGTTTGACGAAAAATGTTTAAAAATATTAGAAGGAAATAAGCCAAATTGCAATGGTTACAGGATCCGAGCCAAATAAATGGAGATAATCTGAGCAATTTACGAACAATAAGACAGAATATCTGAAACACAAAATTAAGGAGCTTGCAACACACAGTAAGAACAATAAATCTAGAGACTCACACAGAACTATAAATAAATTTAAGGCCGGTTATCAACCTAGAAGTAACTTGGTAAAAGATGAGAATGACAATCTGCTTGCAGATTCCCACAACATTGTGAATAGGTGGAACAATTAATTCTGTCAGCTACTGAATTTACATAGGGTTAGTGATGTCGATCAGACGTAAATACATACAGCTGAGCCATTAGTACGTGAGGTTGAATTTTTTCTATTGCAAAGTTGAAAAGGTATAAATCGCCAGGTGGTGATCAAATTCAGGCAGAACTGATTCAAGCAGGAGGTAAAACATTACGTTCTGAGATCCATAAAATCTTAATTCTATTTGGAATATGGAAGAATTGCCTTAACAGTGGAAGGAGTGCAGTAGTAGCGTTATTGAAAGCAGGAACATTAAATATTCCAATCTTCAAAAGGTTTGTGTGCGCTTGGTCATATTTGCTGTCTAATATCTGTACTGCTTGGAGGACGAGCTGAACATTTCTGGAGAGAATGATACGTGGATATTAGAAGGCGAGAAGGAAGAAATTACAGTTTTCGTCTATATCAAGGTGTAAAGACGCAATGCCGCTTTAATCACTAGGCAAACCAAACGGTCGCTCAGGGTTGCAAAGAACTGAATACACAAAAAGTATAGAAAGTAGCTTAAAATAGATCTCAAAATTTAGATAAAATACAAAAAAGACAATTGAATAAAAATTTTCTTGGATATTATCCATCGTCTAGTAAATATAAAACGTAAAACGACGTTTCGGAGATGGGACCCTATCTCCGTCTTCAGGTTCCTACACAGTTGGGCCCACTAGATAGAGCTAATCCCCATCTCCGAAACGTCGTTTTACGTTTTATATTTACTAGACGATGGATAATATCCAAGAAAATTTTTATTCAATTGTCTTTCTTTGTATTTTATCTAAATTTTGAGATCTATTTTAAGCTACTGAAAGAATAAATGTGTGTCTTGGTCGCGTTCTTGTAATATAATGCCAGCTGTCACAAAAGGTTGATGTGTCTGTAGTGATGTCGAGTTTGTGACTAGTCGACATATTTCCTGATAGACTGCCTTGACAATTGCCTCACATTTAGTCGTCACATGATAAAAGTAAAAAGTAAGCAAAACTGTCCCGCTACACGCCATATAGGCGCTTGGGAGAGGAGGTATAGCTCCTACTCATTCTTAACCTCGGCACTAGATAGAGGTGAGTCATCAGAGTCACGCCTCGGCCGCCCCGGTATCTGTGGGGCTGGAGGCTGGTATGTACGTCCTTGCTGCTCGAACTTCGGTCATACAGTCATGTCTCAGCTACTCCGGGTCCCTGATAGATGTACTAATATGTCCTGTATCGTTTCTGTTGAGTTCTTTTTAACTTTTTTGGAGGTCACAGCTACAAACAGTAATTGTTTAGAAACTTTTTGTTTAATATATTATTAAGTTTTCTGTTACAAAGAATAGGAAGTGTGTGCATTACTTTATACATTGATCTGTGGACACAGTGTGACCAAGTTTTAAAAAAAAACTGCATTGTAACATTCTGAAAATGTACAAAATTAATTTTCGAAAGTTAATTAGCGGTGGGAGGGGTGTGGGGCACAAGCCTGAATGTTACTTTGTGGTTCCAAATACCTTTGCGTCATTCCTGCATAGTCGCACACGCAGAGTTAGTGTAGCCTTTCCTTTCACTGAGACGATACTGTAATAATCATTAAAAGTTGTGATCATGGAAAACTTACCATCTTTGACTGAGAATATTGTTATCTGTGTAGACAGGCAGTGATCAACAATGCAGATAACCATGACGGAATGCACCGAAACCTACTGGTTTCGTCGGTAGATGGCAGTGTACCGTCGCTATGCTGTGCCATCTATGAACAATTCTAACAACACCGAAAGAATGACGGACATGGATGTCGCTACACGGATTAAGGATAATGCAAGAAATAAAATAATATTATAAATATTCTTCCATATTGACTATGTTTGCTGTAAATGAAGTGGCCCTACCGTTTACAGAGATCCTGAATGTTTCGTCCAAAACCTGCAGTATATTGAGAAAAGTGAATAACAAAACTTTATATGTTAGAAACATAAAGAAGAACTTTTTAAGTTTAATTCTTTTTACGAAAATAAACATGCCGGCATGACTTATCTTTGCACACAACCATAGAAAGTCCTTGTAGATGTGTGTGTATATTTAGAACATGAACGATGTTGTCCATACTTTATTGATTGTTTTATAGGCTATTAAACGGCGCTTTTAAGTGCAGAGGTTTAGACCTGCAGAGGCATATTTTATAGCAGATAAACGGTGAGCTGGAAATGATTTGGTAGGTTTCGGTATAGCCTATAATAGAGTACTTTCACGGTATTTGCCTGCAGAGAGTGAGGATACCAAACAGCACAGTCAAGACAGTCAGAAATCGATGCGCGTACAAATTTATAGCATTACCACTGCTGCCACCTACTGATTCGTTAGTCAGTTGTTTTGATCTTAGGTTTAGCGACTGTTTCTTCCATTGTTATTTATTCAGCTGTAATGGTGGTCTAGCGGTTAGAACGCTGGCCTTGTAATCCTGGGGTCTCGGGTTCGATTCCCGGCGGTGCCCGAATTTATAACTTGTGTTGGGCAAGGCCGTGGTCTAGGCAACACGGAATTTTCCTCCGGCAAATCACTTCTGGATCATCTGCCAAGAACGTATATGAACAGGTCCCAGTCCGAGAAAAGGATGGAAGGATCCTGTTCATATGGACCTGTCGTCAGACAGAACACTAATAATAATAATGTGTAAAAATATGTTGTTGTTTTGTTTGTTGTAACCTTACACATTGCACCTTGAACACAAAAAAATATGCATTTCCAAACCGACCTCACAGAATTGAATGACTTTTTGTGAGATTGTAGTTCCAATGTAGATATGTATTCTTTCCACATTTTGTAGCTTTATGTATTTTACTTTTTTTGAGCGCAGACATCCAAATTTGTTAAAGGACCCAATCCAATTTTAAATAATATTTCCATGCCCCCATATATATTTTTAAAAATACTGCATTTTGAGAAATATGAAGTCAGAGCTCAAATTTTAAGACCTTGAAAAAGTAACTGTGCTGAATATGTTGGTGTCATTGGAAATTACATTTAAATAGCTTTAAAATGAGCTTAGAATAAGATTTGTCTCAATTAGTGCAGACGTTATGCTAATTGTTCTAAGACAACTTTGTCTGTCTTCTGTCAAAAATTTAAATCTGTGTTTATTTGACATGGAATGACAATTTCTCATAACCGGCATCTGCCTGAAGGGATTGTGGACAGTTGGCTCCTGACCGGGATTCGAATAGTGTACGTCTGGAACGGAAGTCAGTCGCGTTGCCTCAGTGCACTGGCTGAGCACGCGACTGATTAATTGCAGTGTAGCCGCCAGAGTAGGAAATTTGAAACGAACTGACTTAATGGTTCGCTGTAGTATTCTGTGTCGTAACATCCAGCTGAGATCGAGGTAAGTTAGGGAAGATGGAATTCTCTCTAAGTTTTGCGGATGGTTACCTAATCATCAACAGCATCCAGTGTCATCGAGTTACAAATTTCTTCTGTGTTTCTGAACACCTTAACATCTGTAGGAAAGTCTTCTACAATTCCCGGACCGTTGCATGGGAAAATATCACCTGAGGCCCTTTTTTGGTCGCAGAATGAACATTCTAAGAAATTTATTTCTGGAAGACGAATATTATACACATATTAAGCACCTTTTGTTCGTAGCTTATTCAACGACACTGCCTCAGATTCATAGAAAAGAGCATTGGCGGAAGGATGATTCTGAGTGATGAAGTGAACAGATCGTAGGTTATTTAACTACCCTTTATCAGCTGTAGATTTTATTTTGTGTCGAATGATTACGCAAGTTGGACTTCTAAGGATTGGATCCTAATCGGCCGTAGTTTTTTTTAGACTACTAGAACTGAGGAGAACCATGAAACATGTTAGGATAGTCATTTATATCGAAAGCTCTCAAATATGGATGTTAAATAACAAGAAGAACATGATTGGACGAAAGTAAGTATGATTGATTTGTGTTTATGGATGACTGAAAACTCGCCCGTACAGTTTAGTTGTAACAGTCACGAAATTAGCGAACTATCAATCAGTCTGTCGAAAGAGAGAGAAACAGACAGAAGTACAGATCAAAATATGCAGTGCGCGTTGTAAGGAAAGTGCGTAAAATTGTAGATGAAAACCCGGAATCGTGAGACCAGTTCGATGAAGTGGAAGGAGAGTATCTTTCATTGTGTATGAAGGTCCAACTGCAGTGTATTTTGTACACAACCTTTGGGTTTCGTAAAAGACTTGATAGACTATTAGTTTCTTAAGGAGTGGTACATTGGTACGCAGCTCCGTGGAGTTTGTTCTGCCATCAAAATCTTCTGTTATTTGGGGGACGACGGACAATATACCAACATGTATTTGTACTGTCGTATAACTGAACGGACAATTCTTTTTCTCTGCATAGTAGCGGCTCCTGGTGGTAAAGTAGTGAATACAGTTCTTTGGCCCATACCAAGGAACGCTAGTGCGCGCGCATGCGCAATTCAATTATTTCTCGTTTCATCCGGCTATTGTCAGGAATACTACAGCAGTAACGTGATGAGTCTGTGTGTGCATGTGGTCGAGGCGCACATGTCTTGTTCATCCACAGGTGGTTTCTTCATGAATTGGGGAGGGGCGAATTTTCTTGCTTTGAATTTGGGGAAATTAGGGGGATAGCACTTGACAGTTTGTGACGTCTCAGGTCACGTGTGAGTACCACCTATCTATTATACATGACAGATGTATATAAAAGGGACGGACTGACGGCACTACTACAACTTGCCTGTTCGGCGTAGCACGTGGTTGTGACTGTTGTGCGCGCGCATCCGTCCGAAAGTATGAGCGCTGTGGAGTGGGGCTACAACGAGAGCAATGGTGAGTGAGAATGTTGCCTGGGCTCCTTAACCACCCTTCACTTGTCACTGAATTTTGGCTTTCAGTGACCCGTAATAAAAAGGTTTTTATTGACACGTTGCTTATTAAAAAGCGCTGTTTCAACTGCTGAGACTTTTTACCGTCAAATGAAATCACGAGTCAGGAAACCACGGAATACATTGAGCATTAGCTGAGACTGGAACCGGTTTGCGTTCGTCTGAAACGTTACTGGTACATCTTCAATTCCAACTTCCTGCATCTGACACTAATAATTCCAACCTATATAAACGAATTTCTCTCACTTCACATAACACAGAACAATCTGTCCCATATAATAATTGTCCTATGGCTCTACACGTAACGCAGTTCTACGCCACCTGATCTTAAATCTGTCACTACAACCAACAGATACCATTCCAGTTTTTATAAACTTCATCCCGTCACTATACCAAACATAAATATCTGTATCGTTTTGACCAGATTGGTAGCTGTATTTATGGTATATTAGAGGGTCCGGTGTATTGTGAGTTGGAATACATTTAGAATATTTAAAATTTAAAATATTGGTACTCTTCTGCTGGATGCTCATCACTTTATTTTCTTAATAATTTGCTGTAATTTATATTTAGTAGAATTAGCTGTGCTAAGAATTAAAATATGGTGGGTGTTAGTACCTTATAGCTACCAGTGTCCCTTTAGTAGAATTAGCTGTGCTATGAATTAAAATATGGTGGATGTTAGTACCTTATAGCTACCAGTGTCCATAGGACGAAGGATATTTTAATGGTTGGTCTTCTAAATTTATTTTCAGAATGACTTAACGTCGGAATTTAGAATTTAATTTGCTTTGCTGATTTTTTTTTTAAATATAATTTTTAACCCTTTAAAGCCCAATGGTAACTTCATGTGCCACCTGGCGAACTCTTAATTTTGTATTTACGAGTTTCATATGATTCTCGCTATAAACAACGATAATTTCCTTAACATGAACCAGACTATCTTTGCAATGGTGGAGTATGTTTTCTTTGCGGTACAGACTGAATTCTTAAATATTATTTAGACTAGCTTTGACTTCAAGGGATTAATACCCCCAAAACAACACTTTGCGTTTCAAATAGAAATTGTGTGCTACTGTCTATTGCCAAGAAATTAGGTTTTTGATTTCTATTCAAGTCCGGTTGTAACGCGTTCCATGAAAAAGACACATTGGTCTCTCATTGAGATTCTGCTTTGATTAATTAAACTGAATCATTATGCATTGCACTTTTAATAAGAATATAGCAGTTTTATATTATTTTCAGTAAATTACGTTTTGTTCCTCATACTTGTATAATATAACAAAGCATTGATATCTAGATATTAACCGTCCTCCGGTCACTAAATTGGGACGGAAAACTCATATGTTTTATTTGTTTAAATCTTGTCAGTCTAATCACAATAAAATTCCTATTAAATATTAAAATATTACTATAATTAACATTTAAATATTTAAAATATATTAAATGATGTTCTCTATCGAAATGTTCGATTAACATTATATCATCACTTTTTTTACACGACATGTTTCAGTTCTAAAAGAACCATCTTCAGGTGTATAAAATTATATAAACTTAAATATAATTTCTTAAATGCAACTTTTAGTCAGATGTTTATCGGATTTCAAATGATGTTTTCTTCCAGATTTTATTGTATTTTTAATATCGTATTCGAAGTTGTTCTGTATATGTACGTCGTGCTTAACATGATTTTGTGTGAGTGAACGTTTTGTTGTTGTTTTTGTATCATCCTGTAAAGTAAATAATATAAAGACTAAATGAATATTAATAAATTAGAAATAGAAAATAATATTTTAATATTTAATAGGAATTTTATTGTGATTAGACTAACAAGATTTAAACAAATATATATTTATCACAATATGACGCAACTTTATCATCTCATAAGTTTTAATTTACACTGCGAGGTAGAAGTTAAACCCCGTCGATCCTCCCACAGATCCGTCAGCCGTCATAGTTCAAGTTTCTTTTCGTCGGCGCTAGTAGTCGCGGTTTTCTGATGTTTTCGGTGAAGTCTGACTTGCAGAAGTAGACGCCGAGGAGTATCCAACTCAACGGAGCATATTTCTTCTCAGGCGCTAAGCTTTCAAGAAATTTCCCGCCTTTTACGGAACCAAAATGTTCATTACAATGCCTAAAGAGCCTGCCACTGGACGCTGTGACAAACCAAAGTAATCTGTTACGCATTCACTAACCAGTCGAGATCATTGGAATGAATGAGTATTTTCTGTGGTTTAGTTGTTTCAGTAAGTTCCATTTTCAATCCATATTTTTAATATTATTGTGGCCTTGCAGTTTGCGCTTGGGATTTATAAGATCTCCCGAATTCCTACCTAATTAATATTTGGAATCTGTCAGTATAATAGCAACCAGGCACTTGAAGACGAAAGCACACACAACTAACGAGATATAAAGTAGGCCTAGGCTCTAAATCAAATATAAAATAGGCAGTATCGAAGGTAAGAGTGGAATAATAAATAAACAGTAGTCACACGCCTTTATAGAATGATCTGTTTCAAAGCTTGTCTGTCCACAAGATAAGGAGTTTAACGTTCTTTACGTTTGCAATAAAGTAAACTTGATACGGAAAGTGAACATGGCAAATATTTTGTAGAGGATATTATTTTTGACGTAAATACGTCTATAAGGAAGGGTCATTCGGCAAAAAAGTGTAATAAAAAAGGGAAACGAAAAAGTGTAACAAGTGTACCTAGGGAACGTCGTGTTTACTCGGAATTGTTGTTACCTAGGAAACGTTACATTACATTTCATTACATTACATTCATCTACCACAGACCCATCTTAAGCGTAACTAATTCAAGTTAAGCATTCAAGCATTTTTGTTACTCAGGAAACGTCATGTCTTTACTCGGCATTGTTGTTACCTATAAAATATTACATTATATTCCCTTACCTTACCTTACCTTACATTACATCTTATATAACACTTTGTTGATAACCAATGGATTTTATACATATATATATATATATGTTTGTAGAGTGTTAATATTCTTATTGGTGTAATATAACAATGCTTTATAATTACACAGAATTGTTAATGCATAATACGAACGACCTGTGAACTTGTTTCATCTTCGAAACTCTTAAATTGATATCTTTAAAATTTAGTAATGGTATTTCTACACTAAACTTTCTGAGGTAATTTGATTTTGGTTCTATCTTATATAACCTGCATTTTACAAGTCGGCATTATAAGAAGCATATATAGGTCTTTGTTGTTAATAAGAACAGGCTTTAAACTCTGAGGCGCGAAATACTTTTAGCTCCATTACAATTTGAACTATGAAGTTGTATGTGTATCGTCCATGCGTTTTAAATAATGTTTATATTTACGAAAATAGTTATATAGCTACACTGAAAGATACAAGATCCCATGAATAATTGTAATTCGTATGGTGGCATGCCTCAATACCAAAGAGACAGATGCTTTTAACACTGTGCGATACTTTAGTTTCGGGGAGGGTTATTCTAAAAATCAACAAAGTCCAGGTACGTGCTGTTTAAATGACAAGTTTTTATCCAAGTGAATACAGATTTGTAATCCTAGATTATTTTAAGTGTTTTTGACGTAAATACGTCTATATTTTAGGGTCAGTGTCATTCGGCAAAAATGTAACGAAAAAGTGTAACTTCATTGTTATGTTACCTTGGAAACGTCAATTGTTTACTCGGCATTATTGTTACCTAGGACACTTCATCTGTTTACTCGGCATTGTTGTTACCTATAAAACATTTCATTACCTTACATTACATTCAGCTACCACAGACCCATAAATAAGCAAAGTCTTAATCAAACTTATCTCAATTGTAAAGCATGTATAAAGGAAATATTTAGAATAAAGCCAATATATAAACTTCCTTTCCGTATAAACGTATTTACGTCAAATTCTCCGGAACCGTGGTTCCACTGACAACTTTTTTACCATAACCATGTTTATAATTGTTGACATACATAAAGGATCGTGTTAAAAGATTTGTGAAACCGTTTGATAATTCCCCATACTAAATTCCGTATCCTTGTAAGACTTGAGGTTCTTTGATAGCTGTCACTGTAAAATTTCCTAGAATTCGCGCTGTTGGCATCTTACACAGAAACTTCACCTTCTTCAAAGTTTTGTCATTTCATACGACCCTCGTGTTGCTCTTTGTGGATGGTATGGAATTAAAAATTAAGGCCGAGCACGGGGAAGGATGCCGGCAGTCATTGTGCAACGCCCCCGAACAGCTGTGACCTTGTATAATCCTCGCTGGGTTTGGATCTGCGGACTAATTGAGAGCAATCAGACAATAGGAAGGATTCACACCACAGCAAGTATCAACAAGTAAGAGGCAACAAGTTATAGGCGGCGCGCGATGTTTGGCTCAACGTTCACACCTGGGATATCAGGTTCAGTAATCGGGAATAGAATAGTCATTATTTTCCTACAATTTGCTCGAAATTGATATTTCACTGTTCGTCCAGTGTCATGTGCGTGAATAGCCTCTAACCACACTACTATATGATGCGCTGTTTGATATGCACGGTGTCAGTTAGCCCCTACAGACAAATCTCCTATACCAGAGTTTCCCAAAGTGTGGGGCGAGCCCCCCTTGGGGGGCCTGTTGTTTGTATAAAAAACTTTTCTTAACGAAATATGGAGAGAAACATGATTGAGGCAGTTCAGCAGTGGCAGCCATCAAAACAAAGTATCGTTCTACGATGAACCTGGAAAACGACCTTAGAGCGGTCATTTCAAAACTCCACCCTCGGTATGATAAGTTATTTTCACAAAAGCAACCACATCGATCCCACTAATCCAGGAATGAAGCGTATATTTTATTACAGTTTTTAAAATTAAATGCATTGAATAATATATATTAAATTATAAAAAATGTATACTCATAGCTAAATTTTATGTCAAATCTGTTTGCTTGCCCGTATTC